CAAATACTTCTAATCAGCGCTATTTTCGCGTTATATATATTGTTTTTTTTCTTACTTTAGTTTTAAATAAGATTGTAATTCTTCTAATCTCATTGCTTCGTGTTCCGTAATTTAGGATATTCTGATCGCTCTTCCCTTTTTATATTGTTTTTTTTTAAAATATAATATATAAAGATGAATGTAGCTGTATAATTATCCTCATCTGGTAAATATCCAGTTACTGGATAGTGTTCTCTTTTTCATCTTCATGTGGTTCACCATTATCTTGCACAGTTTAATGATCACATGGACGTTTGCAAGAATGAAGTAACTTCACCTTTCAAAATTCCATTCAAAGACAAGGATAAGAGCAAAGGTTCGCCCGCTGCGGCAACAAGGTCTCGATTTAAGGTCATGATCTACCTATTTTCTCTAAACTCATTTCCAGATCACCTTTGGCTGATCCACATGATCAACGAGAATTTTCACAACGGGATATCCAAACAATTAAAGCACGACAGAAGAAGCGGTAGGGTTTGATAAAATCTGTTTCCCTCAAAAATTGCTGCAATCTTTGAGGTTCAGATAACAACATTTTATTGTAGGCTTGCTACCGAACAAGCACAGGCGCGAGATGCTAAGAAAGCTCGAAAGTCGACTAACATTCAGAATGCTCAGGTGTGTGGCAGAGTTTTCTTTTTGCTTTCTCGCATTAGATATAAAAACATAAATTGCGGAACTTTATTAGCTGCTCCGCAAATTACGGACAGAAGTGCCAGTCTGTTTATAGGACCCGTTAGCTGTAGTGGATAGAATATGCGGTGAAATGGCAGCTTCGCAAGTCAAGCGTGATCAGCGCCGCGAGTCTGAAGAGCGCACTCGACATCTTGAAACCGACTGTGCCCTTTCTCGAGAGGCCTTGGAAAGACATGCTCAGGACGACACCATGGCTAGAGAGGTAGTTTGAACTTGATCTGACGAATTTTCCCAGTGCTTCATAGTTCAACTAATAGAATACATTTGTTTCAGTTTCTTCGTCGTGATTCTTTAATGGAGCGACTACTCGGTCACAAAATGTTGTATGGGCGCTTGGAGTCATATACTTCAATGGGCTACACTAGAACATGTCCACCTGCTGAAAGTAGCGCAATGCAAGTGCGTTGTAATTGGAGATGTTAGTTCTAATGCTGTAATTCTCATGAATTCAGATTGGTCAGGACATTGAGTGTGAAACTAGTTCAAGACCACGTCGTGGACCGCATACTCCTCCACCTCCAGGAAGCTCCCTCGTCCCACTTATGGAAACGAAGGTTCAGCGTCCGAAACCAAGAGGCCCAAGAACTCCTCCCGGTTCACCAGGTGTGTTGTAAATCTCACTATAATGCATTTTTTT